GACTGTGATAAAGCCGCTAGTACTGTGATAAGGTTCACTGTGACTGTGATAAAGCCGCTGTGATAAGGTGCACTGTGACTGTGATAAAGCCGCTAGTACTGTGATAAGGTCCACTGTGACTGTGATAAAGCCGCTGTGATAAGGTCCACTGTGACTGTGATAAAGCCGCTGTGATAAGGTCCACTGTGACTGTGATAAAGCCGCTGTGATAAGGTGCACTGTCACTGTGATAAAGCTGCTGTGATAAGGTCCACTGTAACTGTGATAAAGCTGCTGTGATAAGGTGCACTGTCACTGTAACCGGGTCCACCGTAACAATCAGACATTCACGCTCGTTCATGATCGCGGTGAGAGGCAGGAGCGACCGCGGCTCACTAACCTGGTAGGTGGCTCGAGTTCGTGCGAGGGCTGCGTGCGGGGCGGCGGCGGGCGGGGCGGCCCGGCACGGCGACCCTCCGGGTTACTCTGCACGCTCTCACCTCGCCGGATCGACTGCTGACCTCGCCGGTCGGCAATATCTGCAACAGAGGGCGCCACTGCATGAGTGGCCGCGATCGCTGACGATCGTTGTCACCATCATTGTCATTGCTGTCACCCTTCGATCAGCTTCATCGTTATTCGTATGATTATTAACGGTGACATTGTGACTGTTATCGTTGTCATCATTGTCATGGCTGTCACCCCATCACTGACTTCGTTTTTTAGTATCATTCCCCTAACCCAGCATCATCGTTACAAGCATCAACATTAGCATTAGCATCATCGTTTTCATTATCATCGTTATCCCCATCATCGTTATCCCCATCATCGTTATCCCCATCATCGTTATCATCATCATCGTTATTATCATCGTTATCCCCATCATCGTTATCCCCATCATCGTTATCCCCATCATCGTTATCGTCATCATCATCATCGTTATCACCATCATCGTTATCACCATCATCGTTATCCCCATCATCGTTATCCCCATCATCGTTATCAGCATCATCGTTATCACCATCATCGTTATCATTATCATCGTTATCCCCATCATCGTTATCAGCATCATCGTTATCCCCATCATCGTTATCACCATCATCGTTATCATCATCATCGTTATCACCATCATCGTTATCCCCATCATCGTTATCACCATCATCGTTATCACCATCATCGTTATCCCCATCATCGTTATCACCATCATCGTTATCAGCATCATCGTTATCACAATCATCGTTATCATCATCATCATTATCAACAACATCAATAACCATCAGCATCGTCTCCATACAAAACTCATCTAGAAACAAATGAGAGAGAATGCACTAATTAGATAATGTACTAACAGTGTTTTATTAACGTGATAACGAGCGTTATAACGGTTTACTTGAGCGCGATCTAGTGGCGCGATGATGATGATGACAATGCTGCTCATGCATGATCATCACACCGATGCCTGCATGTACGCATGCGCACGCACACGCGCACACACGCACGCGCGCGCACGCGCACACGCATGCACACGCGCACACGCACGCACACACGCACGCACACGCGCACATCTACACAACACAGAACCTACGACGACACGCCACTATATCATGTGATGACGTCACGCCACTATATCATGTGATGACATCACGCCACTATATCATGTGATGACGTCACGCCACTACAGCATGTAATGATGACATCACGCCACTATATCATGTGATGACATCACGCCACTACAGCATGTGATAACATCACGTCAGTATATCGTGTAATGATGATGTCACGCCACTACAGCATGTGATGACATCACGCCACTACAGCATGTAATGATGACGTCACGCCACTATATCATGTGATGATGTCACGCCACTACAGCATGTGATGACATCACGCCACTATATCATGTGATGATGTCACGCCACTACAGCATATGATGACATCACACCACTATATCATGTGATGATGTCACGCCACTACAGCATATGATGACATCACACCACTATATCATGTGATGACATCACGCCACTACAGAATGTGATGACATCACGCCACTATATCATGTGATGACATCACGCCACTACAGAATGTGATGACATCACGCCACTATATCATGTGATGACATCACGCCACTACAGAATGTGATGACATCACGCCACTACAGCATGTAATGATGACATCACGCCACTATATCATGTGATGACATCACATTACTATATATTGAGATGAAGGCACGCCACTACATCATGTGATGATGCCACATGCAGACAGTGCTACATGCGAGCATGGATGCACTGATATAAGGACGACAAATAGATTCGCTCGCAAAATGCACACGTGCAAAACATAAACGCATTCCACACGGCAATGCTTGACAGCCGACATTCCAACGCAACATTCGAGAAAACTACGAACGAACAAACGGATGCAACGAAAAGAAAGCGAACGAAAGCAACGGAACTCGATCCACAAAAAGTGCGAGTGCGAAACCGGGTTGAGAGAGCGTTTGTGAGGCTGACCGGCAGCCGCACGCTGACACCCGAGGTCACACACGCACGCTGCCGCCGCCGCCGCCGCCGCGGGAGGGGGGGGACTGGTTGCAGGGCCACACGCTGCAGTGTTTGCGCACGGTGCCATCAGAGTGAAGTCTGGTGCTCGCGCGGTGCAGTACTGTCGCCGCCAGGGGGCGCTAATCCGCCCGACAGCCGGGCGGGGGCGGCAGGGGGAGGGGGGGCTTGCGTACAGCAGGCAAGGGGGGGAAGGCTTGTGTCACTACAGTGCTACCGCCCTCTACTCTACTGTAATGTACTCAATACAACGTACCGACTGGCACCGGCGGCTGCGGCGGTTGCTGCGGCGGCGGCGGCGGTGGCTGTGGTGTTGGCGCTAGCTCCGTCGCGCTGGCATGCGCGTCGTTGCCGCCGCCGTCGTTGTTGTCGTCGTCGTTGTCGGGGCGGCAGTAAGCGTAATCAGCCTGGGGTCCGTACTCGCTGTCTGAACTGTCGCTGCCGCCCGACGCAGAGCTCGCTCTCTCCTCCACATCACAGATGGCGCCACCGCCCCGCGCCGCGCCGCCCACACGTTCACTTATTGCTGTGCCGTCAGCCGGCGAGAATGTATTATTGCTGCCCACCGTTGCAGCGCGAGCGCCCCCTGGCGACACTGCCGCAGCGCTGCGGGCGCCCCCTGGCGACGACACCGCACTCGCGTTCGAACCCTGGCGCTCCAGCGCCCCCTGGTGACGACGCGTGTCTGGCGAGTCGAAGGTGAACACGGCGGGAGCGGCCGCGCCGCCGCCGAACGACGGGCTGGCGCTCGCCGGACCCGGGCTGCCGCCAGCGCCACCTAGCGGGGCGTCGAGCGCGGCGAGCGCGTGCTTCACGCGGCGGCCAATCACGCCCGAGCGCTGCGACAGGCTGCGGCCAATCACGTCGAACTTCTCCGCGCCGCGGCGGGCCGTCTGCGCCGTGCGCCCGCGCATCGAGCGGCCGAGCGAATCGACCTGCTGCGGCAGGCGACGGCCGAGCGAGTCTACGCGCTCCGGTAGCTGAAACCGGCCCCAGGTTATGGGCTGCGATTTCTATGGCTGCGAGCTGCGAGTTGAAAAAAAAACAATGCGTCTAAGAGAACAATCAAGCGAACAATGCGAATTAAACAATCAATGCACAGCAACTCTGTGTAAACTCAGGTTCTCGAACTAGAGTATGTTTGCTGAAAGGGTCAGGAACAAAAATTTCGCGTGCGGGGGGGTGGGGAATCACCCTTCACTCTGTTCCATTGTGTCGAATCATGCGCATCTATTAAATTTCCGCGGAAACACAAACCAATCGAACGGATGGCGGCGGCAGTTGATGAGCTATCTCTCATTTCCGTGCCGTGACGCCGCGCGCTGTCGACTTTTCAAGGTATGCGTATGGCGCGGGGCGTGCGTCGCGAGCTTCTTCGTGAGAACCTCAGTCTCGCGCGCGACGCCATCGCCGACAACGCCAAGGACCTGCGACGACACGAAGCGTAATTAACTGTAATCATTATTAAGTTAATCACAATATTTAATTCTACTCAGGGGCATGATTAAATCCACTAATTATAATTAGTTGTAGTACTAGTAGTACAGTAAGTGGGCGGCAGATTTTACAATTGGAAATTTTACTTCCATTTTTTCCCAAAGAAATTTAAATGATCTAAGATTAGCTGTACTAATTTAGTAATTATAATTGCAAATTAATTCCTTTTCAGGTACCGTTTTGCAGGTACTTTTGCATTGTCCGCCATTTTGAATACAGTGTAATTCATGTTTAAGTCGGCTAATTACGTACGTCGGCTAATTACGTACGTCGGCTAATTATGTGATTAGTTAAATATGTACTTAAGGCGCTTAGTGAAACAGATTTTTAAGTATGATTAATTAGTCATAATTACCGGAGGTTAATCATGATTAGTGATTTAATCATAATTAAAGTTAATTACGCTTCGTGAAACCGGCCCCTGGTTATTGGGCTGCGATTTCTATGCTCGCAGCTCGCATAGCATAGAGAGGCATGTAGTATTGTTTTGTGTGTACATTTTGAATGTTCCAAAAATTTTGCCGTAGGCGAAATGGGAGTAGGCCAACCAGGAATAAACCGTGTACATGTACAAGCGAGCGTGCGTGTGTACATGTACAAGCGAGCGTGCGTGTGTACATGTACAAGCACAAGCGAGCATGCGTGTGTACATGTAGATATACAAGCGGTAACATCGCAGTTGGCCTACTCCAATTTCGCCTACACCCATTTCGCCTATGTACCATTTCGCCTACTCCCATTTCGTCTACTCTCAGTATAAGTAATATAATAGTGTCAAGTTGTGTTCTCATATTTTTGTACCTATGTTTTCTTTTGGTTCCTGTAGTCTATGTATGCCAATCAAAACCATATTTTATTATTTATAAATGATTATTTAGTGAACAAACTGATCGTAGACGAAATGGGAATGGGGTAGATTTTCGTAGACGAATTGGGAGTAGGCGAAATGGGTGTAGGCCAACAGGGAATTTTGCTGTAGGCGAATTGGGAATTTTGCCGTAGGCGAAATGAGAGTATGCCAACTGGGAATAAACCATAGAAACCTCTCAAAGTTCATCAGGTTTTACTGAGTGCTGTCGTGTAGTGCTGCTGGTCAATAGGAAAAGGGCGTAGAACCCTGCCCCTCTATTTCAAAAAATGAATCAGATAAGTTAAATCGTGGTTCCAAAAAAATAAAAGATAAAAAAAATAGTATGGCCTCGGCGAGAATCGAACGCATGAATCGCCAAGTTCATTACGGTTTGCAAGTCTTGGCAAGTTTGGCAAGTACGGTTTGCAAGTGCACACAGCTAAAGTGGAAATTGATGATGTCAAAGGTCGATTTTGATTGGCTAAATGTACACTGTGCTTGCTGAAAGGGTCAGGGAAAAAAATTCCCCCCCACACAATCGCCACGCGGGATAACTGACCGTGGCGCCATCCGGCGGAAATAATGAGCAGATTAGATCGCCTGAAGAAGCAACGTCATCAGCACATGTAACCGCGTGAAACGCTGGTGCTCCTTGGTCTGGTGGGCGGTGGTCGTGGTGGGTGGGGGGGTGGCCGGTAGTGGGTGGGGGTGGGCGGTGGTGGTGGTGGGTGGGGGGTGGCCGGTGGGATGGGGTTGCCATGGAACGCAAAACATCCAAACGTCACATGAGCGGAAGCCGCGACGAGACATCAACGCTCTGCTGTCGCGTGGAAACAAGTGAACAGCAGAGCACAGCCACCGCTCACGCTTCGGCGGGAAAAATAAGAGGAAAGCGACGCATCCGAGAACGAATTGTAAACATCAGATCGGGCGGGGGGGGGAATAAAATAAATGACAATCCATGAGCATAGTGCGCGTCTGGGATTGCGCGCAGCACCGTGCTGCCCTCTAGCGGCAGCCCTGCAACACGAGCCCTCGAGCACGAAGGAACGCAGACACACACAAACGAAAGAATGAAACGCCGGGTGCAGAACACACGAGCACACATTCACCTTCCGCACAAACACCGACACAGAGAGAGAGAGAGAAATACAACGAGAGAGAGACAGCGAGAGAGAGAGAGAGAGAGAGAGAGAGAGAGAGAGGGGAGGGAGGGGAGGATGCCTCAACGACATTTTCGTGCTTCATCCCGTTGCTATGGCGACGCCGCGCCCGCCCGGATGCTCTCGCACGCGCACCTCACATAATTGAACAGCGACCGCCCCCGGCCTTAGCCTCACAGGCAGGCGCACCGACGTCGCCGTGGCAACGACGTCGCCGTAGCAACGACAGCCGTGCGGCATCAAGCCGCCTCACCCAAAAGCACGAAAACGTGTTCGAAACCAGCCTCCCCCACCCCCCGCTCCCCCGATTCCACATCTAGACATGAGACGGCGTGCGTGGGCGCGGCCAGGGGGCGACACCGGTCGCGCGACTACTCACCGAGTGTCGCCAGCGTGTGGTCCTCCTTCAGACTGCGCGTCTCCAGTCGCCCGTCAGAGGGCGCCACCAGGCTGTTGGAGCGACGGTGCTCTGACAATGCGTCTCCTCCAGCGCTCGGCTTGTCAATGGAGAAATCACGTTAGTCATGGCGACGGCTCACCAGAGGGCGTGCAATGAATGTGGCGTCGCGCTCACGATACAGTAAAAACATGTACACTAGTAGCTGTCACTGCAACGGTTTCCACTGATGAGTTCTATTCGACCGAACTAATGGCCATCAACAACAACTCCCATGTTACTATCTGATATAATCTATACTATCTATACTGATATCTATGTCTTACCATGGGACATATATTATTGTAAACATCATCAATTTCAGTTTTATACTGCCTGATGATATCGTGTTTGCAAAACTTAACAAAAATTGTAACATTGTAAACACTAGCTTTCCAATATACAAATATATTCCAATAAACCTATTATCTATCTATCTATCTATGTATCACTTACCTGTGAGAGGGACATGCTGACATCTGTGCGCAGACTCACGCTGCTCAGGCTGCTGGGCGTACCTGGGAACATCTCCTTCTGCCAGTAGTGCGTGTGCATGATCTCTAGCACCTGTGTGTGTGTGAATATCAGCATTGACCGAGGAACGACTCTCTGGTGAATGACACGCCGCGCGTGTGCCCGTGATGTCAGTTTCATCGTTTGTCTATTTTGTGCGAGCAATTTCAGACGCGTCATCTGTCACATTGTTGGCTGTTGTGTCATCTGTCACATTGTTGGCTGTTGTGTCATCTGTCACATTGTTGGCTGTTGTGTCATCTGTCACATTGTTGGCTGTTGTGTCATCTGTCACGTTATCTGTCATATTGATTGTCACGTCATCACAT